CACCCACCAGTGACTCTGACTACAAGCTGGTGGTGGGACAGGGAAACCTGGTGTGCTGCAGTCCATTGGGTCGCAAAGTCAGACACAACTGTGTGACTGAACTGAACTAAATACTACAGTAATAACATTTATTTAACCATTTGATATCCCCACCCAGCTGGAAGACATCAGCCTTGTTTTATTTCATTTTTGTGGTACCAGCAACTATTGTTGAATTGTCAAACGGTTTTTATAAAAAGCTAGAAGAAACTTTTTGAAATGTTCACAGTTGTTCTTTACATGGTGAGAAAATAAATAATTGTTCACATCCTATGCTTTTTGCATTTTTCGACAGAGGATGAGATGGTTAGATGGCATCACCGACTCGACGGACATGAGTTTGAGTCAGCTCTGGGAGTTGATGACCGACACGGAAGCCTGGCATGCTGCAGTCCATGGTGTCGCAAAGAGTCCGACACAACTGAGTGACTGAACTGAGCTGAACTGATTGCATAAGTTGAAACACATTTTCCCACTACTTGCTGATTCACTGAAGTATCATTTTATTTCCCTTGAAAAAGCAAAAGTGTTTTCATTTATCACTCAAGATTTTGGACCAGTGATCCACAGAGACATTGCATACCTTCAGGGTATTTTTTGGGGGGGGTTCTCTTTCTTTCTGGTGAATCTGGTTTAGGAGAGACCTCATATGCCATTTTCTCATTGTCTCGGAATATACAAAACACCTGAACTTCTCAGCAGTTTCACTAATTCCGTGGGTGCTTAGGCTGCTGGAGCATGCACCACAGACATCTATCTGCTTTATTTATCCCCCAACATTTTTTAAAAAAAATATGTGGACCATTTTTCAAGTCTTTATTGAATCTGTTACAATATTGCTTCTGTTTCATGTTTTGGTATTTTGGCCATGAGGCATGTAGGATCTTAGCTCCCCCACCATGGATCTCAGACCCACTCCCTGCATTGGAAGGCGAAGTCTTAACCACCGGGCTGCCAGGGAAAGTGAAAGTCGCTCAGTCATGTCCGACTCTTTGCGACCCCTTGGACCATACAATCCATGGAATTCTCCAGGCCAGAATACTGGAGTGGGTAGCCTTTCCCTTCTCCAGGGAATCTTCCCAACCCAGGGATCAAACCCAGGTTCCCCCCATTGCAGGCAGATTCTTTACCAGCTGAGCCACAAGGGAAGCCCAAGAATACTGGAGTGGGTAGCCTATCCCTTCTTCCTTGGATCTTCCTGACCCAGGAATCCAACCATGGTCTCCTGCATTACAGGTGGATTCTTTACCAACTGAACTCTCAGGGAAGCCTCAGGACTGCCAGAGAAGTCCCTCTTTATTCCTTTGAATCTATCAAATGTTCTTGCTCTTCATAGTGCTTAATCCCTGTATGCTTCTTCAAAAACACATCGCATGTCTCATGTGCAGATGGGCCTCATCCAATGTTATATTAATTCTAAATTCTGAAAATTTAGTCCTTTTTACCCTTCTTGCCTACCACAGCAAATAGCCTAAAACCAGTCTTGAAAATACTGTGATTGCGAGTTGAAGAATGACCCGACATGTCTCCAAGAAGATCCTTCTTCCGTCGCACTCACAATTGCATAAGAAATCCTGTATGCACACTGCAGTCATATCAAGAGTCCTGGAGTAGAAAGGGGGCCCACCAGGGTCCTGCGGGGTGACCCAGGACTTCCTGAGCTCCCGCACCCACACAGCTTGCTGCTGTCAGAACTCACAGCATCACTTCCTGGGGATTTTCAGATAGTGCCCTGGCAACCTATTTGTAAAATGGAGCATCATTTTGTTACCCCACTCTTCTCCAGAAATTTGTCTCCTGTTTTGATCTGAACCAGCTGACCTGCAGTGCCTTAAGGACTATTAATATCAGGCCTCAGCTTTAATAACAACAGTGCTGTTAGGTTAACGGTGACAGGCTGTGCTTGCAATAACAAGATTAAAGGCCTCAAAATTCAGTCACACCACATTTACTGGGTCAAACATCATGGCTCTATGGCAAAGGTGGCATAACCTCCAGGGAAGACTGCTTACACATGATCTTTGCACAGGCCAGCAAACAAAGTCCACCCCCCACCCCCCCGTATCCTAATATTTAGTAGAGTCTTAGGTTTTAAACAACCAAAAAAAAAATGGTTCAAGAACATAATCATATTACTGGATCCTCAAATTCAATTTTAGGATAGTGATGTGATGATATTTACAAAAGCCAACAGCTCTTTGCAAAAGCTGCAAACGACCACACCACCGTTTATACTCTGTTCCAGATACACAGGCACATGTGACATTTGTTAAACTGCGGCCACTTCCCCAGCTGGAGCCCCGTGTGCGGATATTCCCCTCTGAAGGGCTTAGAGCACATGTGGACGCATATGCATCCACTTTCCAGGTTGCCTTTCTTCTGATTTCCCTATAGTAGGGATGCCTCGAGGGCGACACAGCATGTACAGAAATCAAAACAGTTAATGAAAGACACAGTTATATAAACACCCCAAGGTGATCTCAGGTTTAAAATATTGCCAAAGTAAATTCAAAGACACCCAGATGGTCCTTTTCTTCCTTATGAGCCCGCTCGTCTCGCCTCCTGACCTGTGACAGCACCCCAGATACAGCTTCTCTAACAATAAGACACCAGGCCAGGCACCTCGTGCTTCCAGGACTTTCTCAGACGGTGCTTATTGCTCTAGGGCAGCGTGGGACACAGAACTCACTTCAAAGGCTTGAAGCCACTTCTCCTGGTGGATGAATTTCACGCAGTCATTGCACTGCTTCTGGAAGTGCTTTTTCTCCTGCTCATCCAGCAAGCCAATCTGGAACAGGAATGATGGGTAGCCCTCTATGATCTGAGGAGAAAAAAGGCAAACACAGACACGACAGGGAGAGACAGGGATGTGAGGGGAGCCCATCTGCTTGAGAAATAGCCCTCTGTAACTTGTTAATTAGTGGAGCAGGACAACACACACATACACACAACCCACACACAACACACACAATGCATATACAATACACCACACCCACACAGACGTAAAACATACAAACACACAAACATACGTCACAGGCATCACCCACCACACATGTGCAAATACACCACACAAACACACATGTACCACATAACCACACAACACACACACACACACCCATACAGCACATACATACACAAAATACACACAAACACACCACGCACAGGCACACACACACACTGACACTTGCGCTCACAGCCAACCTAGGCTGACACAGTAAGTTGACACCATAGAACATTTGGTAAAAATTAGAAGATTTAAATCACTAGAAAGTCATTCGAGCAACAGTATTTCCCATTATGAAATTAGGTCTCTAGGGTTAAGAGGAGCCTCTGTCTGATTAAAGGGGATTGCATTTCCTTAAGGAACAAAATGGAAAGGAAAGAAGAGCCACCTACCGACTTGGGATCAGAATACGCGTCTCCGAGAGCAATTCCCTTCAGGTTGATCTTCATGGTCGTCACAGGGTTGAGTACGTGGATGTAGTGGGCAATGGCAGGCACATACTTCCCAGCGTAAGACTAAGAAGGGCAGACATTAAAACAAACCATCACGTATTGGTGCTACTAAAATGGCACATTTAGGTGAATTAAAATCACAATCAAACAAGTAGGATTTGCACAAGACTTGCACTGTGTATTTTATTCTTAACCTCACATTGCAAATTTCACAAGAGCACTGAGCTCAGTGCCTTCCTTCTTTTGTCATCCCAAACAGTACCAAGTGACATGCAAGATACAGGTTAGAAGCACAAAAAATACTAAGTGAACATGCCCTAAGTGAACAATCTAATTTCTTTCCAAAAGAAAATAACATGGACACCAGTGAATACAATTCTGCCATCCTTAGGGTTTCTCTTACCAGAAAGTTCCATTGCAAGCTTTATTTAAAAAAAAAAAAATCTAAAAGCCAAAGTTAAGATTTCAAAATCTGTATAATGATGCCAAAATTTGAAATCAACATGTATTAAAGGAAGAGGAAAAGGAAAAATAATATTTATTGGCCACTAAAATGGTCACTTGAACTTACCTCTGTTTTCAGCCTTTTACAGTAAAAGGCTCTTATTAAATTTTGAAATATTTTGTGGACATAAACACAATAATAATTCTTCTTTTAGATTATGCTGAAAAGAGCTATTATTGGTTGTTGGTATTTTAAAATAGTTCTGTATTGCTTCCATGAAAAAGCTGCCTTCCTCCACTTGTGTGTCTAGTATTAAACTTCCTATGTTCAAAACAAAGCTCCAACCCTCCAACCCTCCCTGCAGCCTCCCTTTCCATTAATGTTAACTTTGTTCTAACTGCTCAGGCCAACACACTTGGTGCTATTCTTTTCCTCTTTCACTCAGACCTCACAAAAGTCCATCAGTGAATCTCATCAACTCTACCTATTCTATCAAGACAAATGCAGAATCCAGTGTCTTTCCACATCCATACTTTATTACCTTGCCTCAGGTCACCATCATCTCTCTCCTAGATTCTTGCAGCAGCCTCCTCAATAGGCCTCTGTTTTTGCTCTTCCAGTTTAATTTCAAGACAGTGGTCTGTCAAATAAGATCAAGCAACTCCTCTGCTCAAACCCACTAATGATTTCCCATCTCTCTCAAAGCAAAAGCCAAGCCCTTTTTCTGAGGCATAAGGGCTGACATGATTTGGTCACGTCCCTCACATTATCCTCTACTATCCTCTTGCTCATCCTCTCCAGCCCCTACCAGACCAAATCTTAACTGTGATCTGCATTTGCTGTTCCTGTCCCTGGAATGCTCTTTCCCGGATATCCATCTGGTTAACTCCCTCACTTCCTTACGTGAGGCTTTCTCAGAGATGCCCTCCCTGGCCACCCTATCTAAAATTGGAACACTACTTTTTGATATTTTATACTCCTTTCTCTCCTTTTTCATCTTAATCTTTATCATTCTCCAACAGACTTTTATTATCTTGTGTATTGTTATCCTCTATCCACACTAGAAAAGAAGATCCATGAACACAGAGATATGTCTATTTTGTTTATGAATGTTTTCCCTGTGCCTGGTGCTGTGTTTTTCTGAGTGCTCAATAAACAGCTGCTAAATGAATGAATTTTGAATTAACTTACATGCCTTTGAGAATCAGCAATGCACATATGTTCTAGATAGACTAGAGGCATTAGGTGGGTACATATGGACCTGTAGAACGTTCACAGTATTTTCCAAGGCTTTCCAGGGCTCTAAAGTTCACAGTTGAAGAATTCTGGGAAGTTTTCATTTTTATTCCATGCCACAATCATATGCTGGAGTTATAATTCCCATGTCAACGTAAGGACATTGGGGCTCAAAGAAGTTAAGTGGTAGAGCCAGAATTAAACTTTGTCTGAGTGTAGGAGTGAGTGAAAGTCNATATCCAACATATATAAACAGCTCATACAACTCAATATCCAACAGATAACCCAAATAAAAAATGGTCAGAAAAACTGAATATTCTGCCAAGGAAGAAATGCAAATTGCCAACAGGTACATGAAAAGATGCTTAACATCTCTAATCATGATCCCTGGGTTGGGAAGATCCCCTGGAGGAGGACACGGCAACCCACTCCAATATTCTTGCCTGAAGAATCCCCAGGACAGAAGAGCCTGGGGGGCTACAGTCCAAAGAGTCTCAGGGTCGGACATGACGAAAGCGACTTGCACAGCACGGCATATACTCACCAGTACACTTTAACTTCCCTGTGTGGTGTTATCAAGGCGTGTTTACATGTCTGAAATTTGGCTTGTATAATTTTGCTATATTCTCTTTTTAGGGACAGTAAGTGAGTCAAGTAATATTTCTGTAAATTGACCCCAAAAAGCAAACATTTTTGAATAATCATTTCACTGGTAAAGATGTATTATACACTCTTCATTCAGTGGTGGTTTATCCATCCGGCAACTTTTCTGTCAAAGGTATCATGATAGATACTTGAGTAGACACAAAAATAAATAAATCACAAAACACAATTTCTTTTAAAAATATATTATGTAAAACTTGACTCAAATGTGAGTAAGGCTAAGTTTACCATTTTCATGGTTTATTATTTCTACCATGTGTACACTGCCCAGCACATAATAGGTACGTAAAAAGACATCTGATAAATGAATGACTCATCTAACATTTCTAAACATTTTTTTTCTCTATTGGAAGTTAGTACAAATGCTAAAAAAGTATACCTTCCAGTGATGTTATCACTCAAGTTGTCTTGTTATAAGAGCTGGCAATAAAACCCCTCACTTGCCTTTTTCAGAGATAGAAGAGTGTGTATTTTATAGGTAGTGATGACAAATCTGGACTAAAACAGTCACGTTTTTATGGCACCTCCCCCCTTGCGATCATCATGTGTCTCTGAGATATATTCAGGCAGGAGATTAAGAAGGAACACCCCTCAGTTTCTGAGCATCTACTATAAACAGGTTATTTCACTTACTCTAATTCGAGCCAATGTAAAGTTAACATTATCTTCCTATATTTTAAAATCATGAAAACAAAGGTCTGTGCATTTCAGTCATGTGCCCACTTGGAATCCTATCTGGGCTTGGCTGCCTCCACTCTTCCCATTTCTCACATCAAATCACATTTCAATCAACGGTCCTGAAATAACTGCGAATCTCTGGTCCTCAAAACTGGGACCCACTCTTGGATTTAGCCACTGCACACTTGCCAAGTGGATCACTTACAGAAAATAAGAAAGTGAAATGGGTAGTTTTATTTTGTTTTATTGGGCTTCCTGGGTGGCTCAGTGGTAAAAAAATATATATATATATATATATATATATATATATATA